AGAGAGAGAGAGAGAGAGAGAGAGTCAGGAAAAACATTAAAGATTGTCGTTTTGCAATTAAATAGCAATTTATTGGCTTTTAATGGGAGGTTAGACTCACTTTCGGAAAGAATAACATTATTAACATCGGAGTGACTGTCAGTTGACAGCGAGCCATATATAGCAGAAATATATGGTCGGGATGGAGATCGGGGTAAAACCATAATACGTGTCGTATGGTGTATGTGGTGAACGACACTATGGTCTCCAAGTATAGGGAGGCGGCGAGTGTCCACTTTTCCCGATAGATCTCCTTTTTGGCATTCCTTATACAATATGTGATGTAAACGCCGGTCAACAGGAATACCAATTCACCTAAAATACACATTTAATCAAAACAATTAAATCAATTATTTTAACAATTATTGGTAAACATGTAAAGGGATGTATGGGATCGGGGAATGAGGGACTGGTTGACTGGTGTGATTCGTACCCATTTCTGTGACATAATCCCACGACAGTTGCCTACAGACTATATACCGGAGCCCATTCAGTGTCGACCGTTCCTCCAGAATATTGCGGCCCTTGATATCCAAATTGACGGTTCCGTTGAACCAATTGATTTGCGACACGTCGTCGATGCCGTCCAACACGAGCGCAGTCCAGGCGCTCATATAGCCCAACACCACCAACACTATACCGCCCAAGTATTTCAGTAGGTCTTTGTCGCGGACACAAACCCGATGGGCCTTTCGGGTCTGAAACTCGGCAAAAATGCGGTAAACTTTGATGACTATAGCGCCGTAACAGAAGGCAAACCCCACTTCCCTAAACCACGGCTCCAGAAAACAGGTCAATGGCGTGGACTCGTAGTAACGTATTATCACCTAATTGTCCACAATTGTCGTCATCATTGGTGTCGGCGTTTTTATGTGTGTTTTTAAGTGATGAGTAATTTATCGGTTAAGACAAAACGTTTGTTAATTAGAAAATGGTTTTAACAATTAGAAGGCATATATGAGGGGACAATATGTGGGTTTGAAAAAACAATAATACCGTAATATAGAGCATAAAAGCGCCGAAAAGGATCATCTCTAACACAACCCATCGCGAAGAAGCGATTGTCTACACAATGGAAATCAATGGGAATAAAGAAAACAATATACTGTATATATTCCTCATATAAAAGACATTTAATCTTTAGGAGTGGTGTTTGTGTCGTGTATTCCGTGTAATTCCGATCGCATTATAAGGCAAATGAGAAGCAAAATGAATGACAGAAAGAAAGATATGAAAGCAAAGTATATTATAGAGAAATTACTTCTGTATGTGAATTGTTTAACAAAATTCACGAGAGAGAGAGAGAGAGAGAGAGAGAGAGAGAGAGAGAGAGTCAGGAAAAACATTAAAGATTGTCGTTTTGCAATTAAATAGCAATTTATTGGCTTTTAATGGGAGGTTAGACTCACTTTCGGAAAGAATAACATTATTAACATAGGCTCCGGTATATAGTCTGTAGGCAACTGTCGTGGGAGTTAGAGAGGAGAGAGAGAGAGAGAGAATCGTCTAGTATTACGAAACTGAAGAATAACTTACAAAAGGCAGACAACAAAAATCGATTTACAAAAAAACACAAACAAAAAAATCAAAAAAGTTTTTTTGATGGGTTGAGGGGAATAGGGATTAAGTTTTTTGCAATTTCTTATTTCCGTTGAACAATAAGTTATACACTTTTGTATTGGATATCAAACGCAATGAGAATTTTCAAATTAATTCATAAAAAATGAATTTTTCCTTCACTTAAATAATATGTCTTCAGTTCGTGAGTGGGAGTTAGAGAGGAGAGAGAGAGAGAGAGAGAGAGAGAGAGAGA